GAAGGGCTTAATACCTTCAATATAGAATTGAGCCCAGCAATAGCAAGCTGGCTCATGGGTGAGCTAAGCTGAGCTTGGGTTTGGCTTAAGATCACATATCCTTAACCAAAACTAAGATAATGAAAAAATGATAGCCAAAACATAAAGATCACAAACACCTATATTTTATGTTATTCCATTTACTTTGTTCTATTTGAGATGTGAATGAAATACCACCAAAATAAATGCTCATAGTCCCTTTATAAATTGCAATGGTGAATTAAAATTGTATAAATTATACCATCATAATCTACTTATTATTATATCTAATTATTTCATTCAAAAAATTAATATTAAATAAGAAAACTAAGGGTTAAAGCGCATTCCCAAGATCATTCTCGCCAGATCATTCTCGCCAGCGTCTGGCGCGGGCGCCTCCGCTTTGCCCTCCAGGATCTCTGCACCACACGGCTCATCGCTGGCCTGGATCCTGGATCCTGGTGGATGCACCACAGTGCGATCTTGAGCGCTGCTCGCCGGGTTTGGATTGGCAATGCTCTCCAGCTCCGAGGTCATGTACTTGTGGAAGGCGTAGATCGGGAAATACCACTCGCCAGGCGGCGGCAGTGGCGCATTCTCGCATTCCTTGTCTCCGCTGCCCAGCTCCATGAGGGCCTTCCTCTTGCCGCTCAAGATATCCAGCAGGGGCATCCCAAAGCTATAGACATCGGCCTTGGGGGTGATGGATTGGCTCTCGAGCCACTCTGGAGCGAGGTATCCCCTGGTTCCTTGCGTGGTGGTGACGCTCATCGATTCTTTTCTCATCATCCTCGCCAGCCCAAAGTCGGACACCTTTGGCCGGAGCTCTCGTCCAGCAGCACGTTTTGTGGCTTGATATCGCAGTGGATGATGCGCTCGCCACACTTCTCGTGGAGGTATGTCAATCCCTTGGCAATCCCCAGCGCAATTGAGTGTCGTGTCTCCCAGGTTGAGAAGATCTCTTGCGAGGCGGCGAATGAGGACGAGGCCGAGAGGTGGTGGTCTAGAGAACCGTTTGGCATGAACTCGTAGACGAGGAGGTGGCAGCCTCCCTCGGCACAGTAGCCGAGGAGGCGGACCAAGTTGACATGGTGTACTCTTCCAATCGTGCTCACCTCGGCCTTGAATTGCTTCTCGGCCTGGTTCACGGTGGTGATGTTCTTCATGGCCATGTCTCCTCTATACACCTAACTCTTCGAGAGACTTGACGGTCAAGTCGAAGTTGTAATCGTTGAAGTAGTAGTCTGCTCGATTCACGTGGACAAGCTTCACCGAGATTGGGGAGTTTTGACAAG